ATTAATCACAAACTCTATGTATTTAGGGCTTTCTTTGAGGTAACCTAGTTTTATCAGCACTTTCCATTCTTCTTTAGCTCCTTGGCTTCTGGACACAACTCAAAACAGAAGCCTATGGTCTTGAAAGATAAAAAACAAGAGGTAATTTCTGTTAAAATTTTTATTCCTACAATAAATTATTTTTTAAACCCATGTGTACTGAACACTCCAGAGTAGGAGCTGGATATTACTAAGGACATTTTTTCTCCCAAACTATGCTATCTTTTCTGTACCTGTGACTACTGATTGTAAAGCCCTATCTTTGAACATTAAAATTTTAGGAATCTTAATTAACTAAATAAGCCATTTGAAAAAAATCTTTGCCCTAAATGAATGAGTTAAATTAATAAAATATTACTGACATGCATTAATGAAATAATTCAAGAACTCATTAAAAAATCCCACGAAAAATAACAACTTGTGCATTTTGGAAAAGATAGTCAAATTACAAATAGATTTTGTTCCAACAGTTTGCTTACAAACTGGCTACTTGGAACTTAGAATATATTTTCCCAAAGAAACTATTATATATGATGGTTTTCAACTAGATTATACTGGCCTACAGAAGATTAACAGTATATTAGGCAATTTTTTTCTTATTTTTTTCTCCCCTCCCCTCACCATAAGACAACGACACAAGTTTTCAAGTAAAAGTTAAAATGGGTAAAAGAGGAAGAATATTCTAATAGTTTGGGTTCCACTTTGAATCTTCATCTTAAAGAGGTTTGGGATTTTCTTAAACCTCAGCTATTTGTAGTAAAAACAAATTTTTGATGACTTCAAAACTCTAAATTTAATAACATTTGGTAGAAGGAATATATAATCTTAATTAAAAAAAAGTAAGGAATTACCTATTTGCACATAATGTGAATTTCAAGCCAATTAGTCATGAAATCCAGTCAACCTTCATTACCACAATAATCATTTCTCTGCAACTAAAATAAAAATGCATTATGTTTACTTATGTGACATTCTCAACTTAAACCTTAACACATTTGCTATTAAATTTCACAATCCATTCGTTCCTATCTTTAGGTTACAGTGGTATAAATCACTTTATACATAAAAGAGAATTCAGAATCTGCCTTTTCCAAAGCCTGAGAGAAGAGATTTATAAACTACTGCAACACACTGCTTTGGGATTTAAAGCAAAGAATTCATCAATAAAAATAAAAGTGATGGCCTGGGACAGGTGTAAAAACATTATAAAGAGACAATAACCTTGGCAGGGATGGGGAGGGATTTCATAGTCAAAATTAAGAAAAAAATTATGTTTACCATTTTTGTTCATTGTGTTAGAACTCAAAGTTAATAATTAATCAATCTTCTGTTGGCTATTACCATCTAATATAGCAATTTACAACTAACAAGCAGTTAATATGTTTAAGCCCACTTTGAGCCAGAAAAATAGAACTATATACAGGTCAGACAATTAAGTTCGCAAACTTGTTGCAATGATGTTGCTAACCTTTTTTTGATATCAGAGAGATTATTCATTATGAATTTGTACCAACTGGATAAACAGTTAACCAAGTTCACTATTTGGAAGTGCTGAAAAGGCTACGTGAAAAAGATGAAAACGACCTGAACTTTTCGCCAACAATTCATGGCTCTTGCATCACAATAATGCACTAGCTCACACGGCACTGTCTGTAAAGCAGTTTTTAGCCAGTAAACCAATAACTATTGGAGCACCCTCCCTACTCACCTGATCTGGCCCCCAATGACTTCTTTCTTTACCCAAAGATAAAGGAAATATTGAAAGGAAGACATTTTGATGACACTCAGAACATCAAGGGTAATACAACAGCTCTGATGGCTACTCCAGAAAAAGAATTCCAAAACTGCTTTGAAGGGTGGACTAGGAGCTGGTGCCAGTGCATATCTTCCCAAGGGGAGTACTTCGAAGGTGACCATAGTGATATTCAGCAATGAGGTATGTAGCACTTTTTCTAAGATGAGTTCACGAACTTAATTGTCAGGTCTTGTATACATATATTTATACACAGGGAGAATTCTGTATAGTTGTGCCAAGAAAACATGACCACACCCCAAAGTGGGTTTGTACCTTCCTTACAAATAGTAGTACCTTGGAATATATCCAATTTCCCTTTTTGCCCTCTTGCCCAGTAAACTCCTAAGCCAAATTTAAACCCTTTTTTGAACAACACTGTAAATATTTTCTAAAAAGAGATTGGAAAAGTAAGAAAGCTAGAAAGAAAATAACATGTATTAAAGATCTTGTGAGAGGCCGGCCGAGTGGCTCAGTTGGTTAAAAGCTCGCTCAAGAGTTTAAGCTCTGAGCAACAGCGGTTCGATTCCCAGCCCGAGCTGAGCAGCCGCTGAGCTGCCAACAGGTGGCAGGATGGCTCAGCTTAAAACAAAAAACAAAAAACAAAAAAAAAAACGGAAAAGGGCCGGCGGAGTGGCGTGATGGTTAAGAACTGGCTTGGGACGCCAGAGGGCCCTGGTTCGGATCCCACATGTGAGGGCCAGTGACACTGCCCTCCACAGCTAAGATGCTGAACAACAGCTCAACCTGGAGCTGGGCTGCCGTAAGTCGCTGGACAGCATAGGCTGCAGCCCCTGTGGCAGTGGGTTGCCATGGGCTACCGTGTGTAGCCAGCAGCCAGTGTGAGCGGCCAGCAGCTGCAGTGAGCAGCCATCCAGAAGGCGGCGACTGATCTGCCTTGCCCGGGAAGAGCGCAATGATGGTGCCAACTTGGGCCAGTGAAGCAACGTCCTCCACAACAAGACTGAAGAACAAAAAGAACAGCAACTTGTCTGTTCCCCTTCCCCCAATTCCCCAGCACTGTTCCCATCCCAATTCCCCAATAAAAATCTTAAAAAAAAAAAAAATCTTGTGATGTAGATATTATTTTCCTTACCATATAGATGAGGACAGTGAGCATGGGGGAGTCAAATAACTGGCTTAACATCATGTATCTAGTAAGAACTGACCATGGTCCTCTTCACATTCCACATTTTCTCCTTAAATCTTATTCTTACTCTCAACTTTTACAATGACCTATAATAATAATCCCCAGTGCCTACCTCTATAGAGTCCAAACATATCTCTTAGTTCCTGTTAAGCACTGCCTATTACACAATTCCTCTTTGGTATCCAACAGGTATATTTTTTGTTTTGGAAAATAAAGTTACCTCAAGCTCAACATATTCAAAATTAATATCCTTCGCTCATGAGGGATACAAAGAGAATAACACCAACTTTGTGCATAAGGGCTTATGATACAGCGGTAAAAAGAGAACAAATGAAACTCTTCAATAAATGTATACTATCATAAGCTCTCAGCCAATGAGAAACAGCGCAACAAATTATACAGCACACTCCTGGGCAGCGAGTGTCAACACACCATACTCCAAATGCTCTAAGCCAAGGATAGTTCCAACTTCACTGTCCTGAGTGAAGTGTATTCTGAATTATGTGGATTCTACTTTCTGTACCCATCCTTTCTGCCACTGATGAATAGTTTTGACCCAGAAGAGCCAAAAGCCATGTGCAGATGATAATCCTGGATGTTAAGATGCAAGTTTTGTAGAGGCTTGATGTCCCTTCAAGGATATTGTTGAGACAACAGGGTTAAGCTCAGTTAGAAATTGGAAGAAAAGTCCTCTAAGCTAACTTTATGAAGGGCTTCAGAAATACTACCACAGACTGGGAGAGCTCACAAACAATTATATGAATTATATGAATGGCCACCAGGGCATTCAGGGCTTTGGAGAATTTAAAGAGAACAAATTGCCAGTATACCAAGCCAAGAATGCATCCCACAGGGACCATTACTATTAACTCTATGTTGGGAAAGGAAAAGGCAAATTCAATTAATACTACAATTTCCAAAAATGCAGATCCTGTACTAAATAAGACATTATCTTTACTTTCACAATGATTCAAAGGAACTAAACATATATTTACCTAAGTAGGTCAAAGGATATCTACAATTATCTGAAAAGGCTATCGACAGGTTTCTCTCTTTTCTAACTACATATCTATGGAAGCTAGATCACTTTCATACAAGCATATTTCAACCAAAACATGTAACAACATATTCACCAGGGAGCAGATATCACAATCCAGCTGTCATCTCTTAAGCCAAACATTAAAGAGATTTATAAAAATGTAGAACAATGCTACTCATTCACAATTTTTTTTTGTTTTGGAAAATATAGTTGTATTTCTTATAGTTGTATTATTTATGTTAATATATAATAGGTACCTAATAAATATTTTCAAATTTCCTCAATTTTAATTTCCAATATGGTAAATATTAACAGATAAAACCTTCATAAATAAAAGCTCTTAAGGAGTCCTCAGTAATTTTTAAGACTATCAAAGATACTAAGACCAAACTGTCTGAGAACCAGGCTATATGTGATCAATAAGGGTTTATTTATAAAGAATAAATGAACCTAATACAATCATAATTTGTACATAAAGGTGTCAGGGCACAGAAGGGAACCATTTAGAAATACATCAATGTACTTTATTCTCCTCAACAAGGCCTGCCATCAGGGGAAATCAATTAGCCAGGGCCTAACCAGGTGGAGTATTATCAGAGCCTAATTCACCTGGGAGAAGGGAAATACCCAACTGGACCCCACTCCAGTCATCCTGTCCCATCTAAAGGGAAGAAAAAAACTGAAAAACACATGTGAAATTCACAGTCCAGAGGCAAAGGCTCCTTAAAAGACTGAGATCTTATCATAGTAACATAGAATGCTTCCCCTCCCCCCACACCACACCACAGCATTCAGCATTACTAAACATCTACTTATGGTAATTCCTTTGACATTATCTGGCATATCATGTCTGGCTATCAGGAAAAAATTACAAGCCATACCAAAAAGTAAAAACAATTAGAAGAAACAGAAAATCATCAGAACCAGACATGGCAGAAATGTAAGAATTACCAGCACCTTTCCGGCAGTAACAACCTCCCCACACTAACATTCCTCTCAATAAAAATATCCTTCATCCCTCTCCAGAAGAGGAGAAGAGGAAACACAAGAAGAAGTGCCTAGTGCAGAGCTCCCATTCCTACTTCATGGATGTGAAATGCCCAGGATACTATAAAATCACCACCGTCTCAAGCTATGCACAAATGGTAGCTTCGAGTGTTGGCTGCTCTACTGTCCTCTGTCAGCCCACAGCAGAAAAAGCAAGTCTTGCAGAAGGATGCTCCTTCCAAAGGAAGCAGCACTAAAAGCACCTAGATGAGTGAGGAACCATGCCAATAAACACATTTTGGAGACAAAAATAAAAAATAATAAAAGAATTACCAGACCAGGTATTTAAAACAACTATGATTAACATGATACAGGCTCTAACAGATAAAGTAGACAACATGAAAGAACAGATGGGCAATGTAAAAAGGGAGATGTTAATTCTAAGAAAGAACCAAAAAGAAATACTAGATTTAAAAAAAAAAAAACACTGTAACAGCAATGAAACATGCTTTGATAAGCTTATTAGTAGACTGGACACAGATGAGGAAAGAATCTTTAAGCAAAAGGATATATCAATAGAATCCTTGAAAACTAAAAACCAAAAAAGAAAAAGACTGAAAAAAAACAACAGAATATCCAAGGACTGTGGGATAACTACAAAAGGAATAACAAACATGTAATGGGAATACCCGAAAAAGAAGAGAGAAATGAACAGGATATTGGAAACAATAACTGAATATTTCCCCCAAATTAACATCAGACACCAAGCCAACGAACGATCCAGGAAGCTCAGAGAACACTAAGTAGGATAAATGCAAAAAAAAAAAACCACACCTAAGCATATCATTTTCAAATTACAGAAAAGCAAAGATAAAGGCATGAAAGAAACCAAAGGAAAAAAACACCTTACTTATTTATAGAGGAGCAAAGATAAGAATTACATTCGACTTCTCAGAAACCACACAAGAAGAGAATGAAGTGAAATACTGGGTTGTCGGGGAAGTCATGATGCATTTTTGCATTGAAAAACATAGAAAAATACATCATGACTTTCCCGACGACCCAATATTTAAGTTGTTTAGAGAAAAACAACTTCACCCTAATATTCAGTACCCTGAGAAATTATCCTACAAAAGTGGAGAAATGAACACTTTATCAGACAAATTTTGAGGGAATTTGTTGGAAATAGACCTGCCTTGCAAGAAATGTTTAGAAGAAGCTCTTTAGAGAGAAGGGAAGTAATGGGTCAGAAACTCAGATCTACATAAAGAAAGGGTATCAGAGAAGGAATAAGTGAAGGTAAAATAAAAATGTTTTATTTCTTACTCTTAATTAATCTAACAAATAAAATTTTCAACAACAAATATATTTTGTTCAAAATAATCATCACAACAATGTATTTGATTATGTATGCTTATATATATATATTATGTGCACATATATGCTTACGTATGATGATACATAAGTGAAAGATTGCTGGGCAATTTCAAAATGCTTTGAGATTAAACACACTTCTAAATAACACATGGGCCAAAAAGAACGCTCAAGAAAAATGTTAAAATATTTTTAAATAAATGAAAATAAAAATAAAACTTATCACAATTTATGGGCTAGAGTGAAAGGAGTACTTAGAGGAAAATTTATAGTATTGAATGTTTATATTAGAAAGGAAGATCTAAAATCCATAATCTAGCTTTTACCTGAGGAAACTAGAAAAAGATGTGCAAATTAAATCAAAATCAAGTAGAAGAAAAAAATAAAAACTGGAACACAAATCAATGAAATTGAAAACAGGAAATCAATAAAGAATATCAACAAAACCAAAAAACAGGTTCTTTGAAAGAAAAATCAATAACACTCTAGCCAAGCTAACTAAGAAAGAGAGCACAAATTACTAATAGCAGAAATGAAAGAGAGGATAGCACAATAGATCCTATGGAAATTTAAAAAATATTATAATAAAAGAATATTATAAACAACTTTATGCCCACCAATTTGATGACCTAGACAAATTCCTTTAAAGTCACAATCTGCCAAAATGTACTCAAGAAGAAAGACAATCTGAATAGGCCCATATCTATTAAAAATTGAATCAACAATTAATAACCTTCCCAAAAAGAACACACCAGGTCCAGGTGGGTTCACTAGTAAATTCTACCAAACATTTAAGAAAGAAGTTACACCAATTCTCCACAGTCTTCTTCAGAGGGAAAAGGTACAGGGAATACCAAAACTAGACAATGGCATTACAAGAAAAGAAAACTATAAACCATTATCACTCATGAACATAGATACAAAAACCCTCAACAAAATATTAGTAAAGCCAATCCAAAAAAGTATAAGAAGAATTATACACCATCACTAAGTGGGACTTAACCCAGGTACGCAAGGTTGGTTCAATATTCAAACATCACTTAATGTAATCCAACACATAGACTAAAAAAAATAAGAACATGATCATATCAATAGATACAGAAAAAGTAGTTTTCTTTTCTTGTAATGCCATTGTCTAGTTTTGGTATTAAGGTAATAATGCTGGCCTCACAGAATGAATTAGTGAGTATTCCCTCTGCTTCTTTCCACTGAAAGATATTGTGGAGAACTAGTATAATTTCTTCCTTAAACTGTATAAGCTATCAAGCCATGCATGAAAAGCCAATCTGAAAAGCCTATATAGTATAAAATTCCAACTATACAACATTCTAGAAAAGGCAAAACGATAGACAATAAAAAGATCACGGTTGCAAAGGGCTGGGGAAGAAACAGGCAGAGCACAGAGGATTTTTAGAGCAGAACAATACTCTATGATATTATAATAATGGATACATGTCATCATACTTTTGTCCAAACCCACAGAATATACAATACCAAGAGTAAACCCTATAATACACTATGAACTTTGGGTGATGTGTCAATGTAGGTTCATCCTTGGTAAAAAAAAAAAAAAATGTATGATTCTGATAAATGATGTTGGTAATGAGTATATAAGAAATCTCTGTACCTTCCTCTCAATTTTGTTGTAAATTTTGTTGTCAAAAACTGCTCTAAAAAAAGTCTATTAAAAAAAGTTTTCATTTTTGTTTCATGAAAGCAAAGTATATCAAAGTTTGTTCAACATTTATTAATATTTTCAATTAATCATTTTAAATATTCAATAAACACTAGGGAAAATCAATTAGTAATAGACAAAAAAATAAAATTGGTTGAATCATAGTTTTAAATACACACACACACACAATAGACAAGCTGGAAACCTGTTTCCCAGATTGTTATAAAACTTAAAATATATTTTAAATTTGTAATTTTTTCTTTTAATGGTAGGGACAATTATTTTTAAATTTCACTAATAAAGATGGAAAACTCAAACCTTTTAACAAATCAAATGACTATTCAATAATCAATTAAATAAGTTATTACATATTAAAAAACTTAAACCAGTATCTAGCACATAGTAAGTATTCAATAATTATTAGCTGTTATCTTTACATTTATCAAGTCCTTTTCATCTGACCAAATAATTCTTCAAACTGTCAAGAGACTATAAGAAAGAATATTTCCTACTTATGATTTAAATATTCAGCAACTTCCAATCTCAATTCTGGTATTTTTACAAAATTAATGCATATTTTTCCATTTTCATTGACTCCAAGACATGTTCTAGGAAAAGTATTTATCTCTCAAACTTCCTTCAAAAATTTTTTTAACTTTAAATGCTAATAAGCATTACTTCTGATAAAAGTTCTTGAGTTGTTAGAATATGGGAGGGTAAGTTATGAACTCCTTTAACAAAGCCAACTTAGTAATTTGGTTAATTATTGAAATATATGTAGCCAACAGAATTAAAGAAAAAAAAAATTTTAAGGCCTAGACTAAGAATGGAAATATCTAGGCAGTAAGAACTCAGCATAAAGAAGAACAAACACCTCAGTAAGGTTATAGCTGATACCTGGGGTTTATATTATCAAAACTTAAAATGAAACTTCTGTTTCTTTCAAAAAAAAAATAAGCAAAACTATTGTTTATCTTCAAGAATTTAAGATAGGAGCAACAACCACAATGGTGCAGTAGGTAAATGCTGTGTTTACCTTCTCTCACAACCACATCAAAATTACAACTATTCTACAAAACAACCATTATTGAGAATTGCCTAAAATCAAGCTGAACTTAAGCCTTTCAACTAAGGATGTGCAGAAGAAGCCACCTCCAGAATGGTAGGAAGGTCAGAGATGCAGAATGGGCTGGTCCCATACCCGCGTGTGACCATTAAAGATCAGGAGGGTTACTTCCGCTGTGGGGGTCCCTAGAGGAATGAGAGATCCCAGCCCCGCCCCAGCCCAGGGTGAGAGAAGTGCTGGGGAGAGAAGTCCCCATAATTTTTGGTTGTGAAAACCAGCGGAGATGGTGACTGAGTGAGACTGAGTGCAGCTGCATTCACAGGCACTCCTCTTAAAGGGACTGCAAGCAGACTTACCCACCAACAGAAGCACTGGCTCTGAGCTCAAGCACTGGGGCAGCAGCTGGTAAGGCAGGAGGCACATATGGTGGGGAACTGAGTTGTCTGACTTGGGACAGGGGCTGGAGAGGAGGCTTTCTCCTGGACAGGGAAGCTGGCGAAGGCCATTGTTTCTTTGTTGAGCACTCCCCCATCCTGGCTTTTGAACACAGGTAGCACCATACCTGAGTCTCCACCATTCGCTTGCTCCACCCTGGCAATTTGAGACCTGGCCCCACCCAACTTTCAGGCACACCCAGCTGTTTTCAGTGACTTTTTCGTGCAGACCGCCTGCTTTAGCTCAAACTGCAGACTTTCCTAGGGTCTCTCAAAGGTTCACAGAACCCAAACAAAGAGCATCTGGTTTGAGCATGTCCTGTACCTCTGGCTGAGCAGCCCTAAGCTGGTACGAGAAGCAGCAGGCCTTGGTTCGTGGCTTGGCCTCTCAAGGCGCTTTCAAGCACAGTACGGGCGGCTGCCATCTGTGGATTTGTTTCTGGCTCCCACTGGGTGGCCCTGGGTGGGACATGGGCTGTGGCTGAAGTAGACCTACAGTGGATCCCCTCCAAGGTGGTCCTGGGGCTGGAATCATCCATCCGTCTCCAAGTACAACACACCCAAGGGACGGATTGGGCAGGCACCAGAGTCCTGCTGAGGCAGGTCCTGCTCTGTGGGGTCAGCCCCTTCACAACAACTCTTCCACTGTACTCAAAGCCAGTCCTCACAGCCAGTGAGCCCAAGGGTCAGTCCCTCCCATTGATGTGC